AACAATTTTAGCTGCACTGCACTACATTGAAAGTCTTTGAAACTATTATAAAATGGAATCAGAATTAATTTGTCAGATCAGATAATCCGAGGATGAGAATGACGACATTCTTGACATTGTTAACTGTTCAGGTGTGATGAATACATTCGAAGATTGCTGACCTGATGAGCTCTGATAACCATATCAATGCCGAGTTTCTTTATCTTTTCTTTAACGGCATTCTCACCGAACACATACGAAACACCTCGGATTTGATTCCTCTGGAAACCTTGAGTGCCAGACTCTGGATCTGCCCATAAAAGGTCTTGTGCGAGACCTTTCACTATTCTCAAAGGCCTGAACCATACCGTTTTCGAAAAGCATTCGATGTAAGCTATATCAACAGTTATGCGAACGTTTCATAATGTTATGGTATTCACAAATGAATTCACAGTGAATTCATTGTGCATGCCAAGTAACTCGAAAGAGTTGAAAAATCAAGCAACTGAAGTGATGCACTGACCGTTTGATGTTTCGAATATCGTTAAGATTATTCAGATCTGGTGACAATCCACCGTGCATACAAAGTATCTTTCCGGCCACGATTGCTGCCAACGGCATTTCAGCAAATACTTCATTAAAGTGATTATACAGTCTTTGTGCATCTTGCTGTATTCGATAACGCGTTCGTATCTCAGCCGCAAACCCATACGTTCTAAGTGAAACACTTCTTGTATCAACTCCTTTCACAACAACCAGTTGAATCTAGTTTAAGGTTATGCGCAATTTAGTTACGTACANATTCATTAGCTGACGTAGTGCAGTATTAACCAGATATGCTCAATAATACCACTTTCGTTGAAATCTAAATACAGATTCGAGAATGAGTTCAACCTCATTGTAGAATGCCCCTTTGTTCAAATGAAAAGAATGTTCAGAGTGCATTTAACACAAAATAACTTACTTGTTAATGTGAAAAAGTTCATGATTTCCCCTCAACAGAAACACAAATTTTGGGAACTGTATCTTGCATGCAAGCAGTAAAACAATCACTTCCAGTGGATGACGCCCACGATCGACATAATCACCCAAAAACAGATAACGAACTTTGAACGGAAGTCCACAAGACTGAAATTGCAGCAAATTTTCCCAACTAAACGTTCGAATCACTCAAATCACCGGTTACTAACAACTGGTTATCCTCTTACCTCACCAACTGACGCTACCAAGTTTCGGAACGATTGTGCTTCTCATGTGACTTCGATAAGATGGTTTCGTTACTATAACGATTCACTAATCCATCTCACTCAACTGCGCACGTTTACTAATTATTACAAATGCTTTCCGTTACAAACGATAAAGCCAAAGTAGAATTTCAAGTTGTTCTTTCTTGCAATCAGTCATAAATGTCATACTATGCAACAAGTCAATCTGAAGCAAAATAAAGCGGAATGAAGCAACAAGCCGTGGAATCGTACAGCAAATATGCGCATGAGATCACCATACTGTCCGTGAATATCACCACAAATGTTTACAGGACACGGTACTTCGATGAGAGTGTTTGTTTTTTGAAAGGACACTTTGGCCATGCCAAGTAATTGGTGCAGATCGCTTAGCTCATAATCCATACGCACGGAACCGGCCAGAAGATGTCTCTTGATGAGTTCGCGTAGCACTAACTGAATTTTGTTTGTTTTGCGGGCGTAATATTCAGTGGCATGTCCAATGCCCCCCCCCCACCCCCTTCCCCCTCCCTCGGTCACCTGGAGGTTGGAAGAGTGAGAAGAAGAAGGGCGAAAGAAAAGATGGAAGGGAGAAAGAAGAACTGATAATATTATCACGAAATGATTGGAGCGTTTAATAATGTGCTTTCATCATTATTCTGAGAGATTGCTTGCATGCTATTACGATTACAATAACGATTAATTGTTTTGCCTAATACAAAAGTGATTTCTTTGCGAACAAGCGTCTATCCATATCACGATTTGCTAACTAGGAGAATGGCTAAACAAGGATTATTGCTATTTTTCGCTTGTATAGTCGTTCAATTCGAAATTTAAACTGAAAAAAGAAAAACAAATAAAATAAACAAGGCACAGAATTTCCGAAAAACTCAGCAGAAAACCTTTTTTTCATTCTTCTTCCCATCCTTCCCGCCTTTGGTTCCGTCTCGTTCTGCCTGAAAAATACTTTTGATTCAACATTTGGTTGCATTCGCTCGAAACACAATCACAGCATGTTTAAATCGTATTACTAC